CTTGCCATGTCTGCAGCGGCCATTCCAGACCTATTCCAGTTGGAAGACAATAGTGACAGTTTCTTTGCTGTGCCCAAGTATAACCATGCTGACCTTGTCTCCTTGCAGAGGAAAGATCCAACCATTGGCCGAGTCATTCAGCTGCTTATGACTGACAATAAACCGCCAACTGATACTATTGCAGAACCCCCGGTGGTTCTTAACCTTTTGAGAGAGTGGAAACGGTTTGAGTTTCAAAATGATTTACTGTACCGGAGACGCCAATTAGGACCAGAGACATCATTGCAGTTAGTCTTGCCTGATTCATTACGTTCAACAGTCATGCAAAGCCTACATGATGATATGGGGCATCTTGGGGTTGAACGTACGACAGATCTCATTCGGTCCCGTTTTTACTGGCCAAGAATGGCTAGTGATATCGAAATCAAAGTTAAAACTTGCGAAAGATGTATCCGTCGGAAGGCCCTCCCTGACAAAGCTGCTCCAATGGTGAGTATTACCACCACCAGACCTATGGAGTTAGTTTGCATGGATTTTCTCTCCATAGAACCAGACAGTAAGAACACTAAAGATGTCTTAGTGATTACAGACCATTTTACAAAGTATGCAGTGTCCATCCCAACCAAAGATCAGAAAGCCACCACCGTCGCGAAGAACCTGTGGGAACATTTTTTAGTCCACTACGGGTTTCCTGAGCGTCTTCATAGTGATCAGGGACGGGATTTCGAATCACGTACAATCAAGGAACTTTGTTCTTTACTTGGTATCCGTAAAGTCAGAACGAGCCCTTATCACCCTCGTGGCAACCCCGTTGAACGGTACAATCGTACATTACTCAGCATGTTGGGAACTTTACAAGCCACTGAGAAACATCACTGGCGCGATTTTGTAAAACCACTTACTCACTCGTACAATTGTACAAAAAATGACGTGACGGGATACTCTCCCTACGAGCTAATGTTCGGTAGGCAGCCTCGGTTGCCTATAGATATTGCCTTTGGGTTACCGCATTTGAACAAGCCCTCTATAACTCATTCTCAGTATGTTAAAGAACTGAAGAGTCATCTGGAACAGAGTTATGACATTGTCATAAAAAACTCTCAAAAAACAGCGAGGAAGAACAAAGAACGGTTCGACAGAAACATTCGTGAGTCCACACTAGGTGTGGGAGATCGTGTTTTAGTCCGAAATCTTCGCTTAAGAGAAAAGCATAAATTAGCAGACAAATGGGAGCAAACAGTGTATATAGTTCTCAAACAGATGGAAAACTTGCCAGTATACACTGTAAAACCAGAGAACGGAGAAGGACCCAACAGAACACTCCACAGAGATCTTTTACTGCCTTGTGGTTTTCTCTCTTCATTAGAAAATGAAACAGAACGCGTTACGAAACCTAGCAGACCTCATACAAGACAGAGTTCAGCCTTAGAACCTGACCCAGATGAGCCACTTGACGAAGAGGTAGATGAGTTTTATTACTCTGATCTTCCACAAGTGCTAAACCGACCATCCTATCAAATAGCGGTCACCTTGCCAAATAGGGAACTCATAGCAGATTCAGGACCGGTAAATAATATTCAACAACAAAACACACTATCCTTACACACAGGGGATCGCAAGGAACCAACCTTAGCTGGTAATGAAAATGCTGAATTGTCCTTACTTGACAAAGGCATCAACACCGAAACATTCTTACCTGACAGAATGAGTGAAACTGCGACATTCTTACCTGAAAGAGTGAAAGAAGCAGCAACATACTTACCTGAAAAAACGAAAAAAAACGGAGTATACTTACCTGACGTAGAAACGGGGGATGAAACTAACACAAACCTACCTCAATTGGATGGTGTCCTAAAGTCGCAGCAACGTGATGTAAGTTTTGAACCCATCATACACGATCAGACACATACATCTGAAAAGACCAAAGTCTTAGAGAATAGCTCATCAGCTCTGTCGGAAACAGAGAGCTCACTTCGTCCTGTCTCAGTTGAGAATCAAACCGAAACGGATGAGCATGATACTGTGCAACCAGAGATGTATGTCAGGAGATCTGAACGAAGTAGTCAGCCTCCTCAAAGACTAACTTACTCTCAATTGGGCAATCCACTAGTGACCGTAGTTAGGTCCCTTTTCCAAGGACTTAATAAAGCTTTTATTGACTCTCTTACTCAAGAAGTTGTGTACCCCGTAGAAACAATGCACAGGGACGTGCATGATATTTAATGGGGGAGGATGTAACCCAGAAGCTGGAACCTTAATGAGGTATTAACTAATTGGCTTACTAATATGATCCATCCTCAATTTAGATAAAATATAAAATATAAATTAAGGAAATTAACAATACTAATTAATAGATATCTAATTAACTAATAGATAATTTCATAATGAATTATTGGAAGGGTGAATAACTAAAATAACGAGTTTAATATTAAACATCGGTTAAAACAAGAATCTTGAACATCCCTAACAGAAACAGAAGAGGAAAGCTGTATACTATTGGTCCAGGTGGGAATCTGAAATTTCATTGGCTGAGAGAAATAAGTCCCGCCTCCGCGAAATAAAACCGTGCGACGCAGCTGAGCGAGAGGAGAGACAAACGGCTGTGCAGCACGCAGATACAGAAAGCAAAGACTGAGCGGTTAGAGAGAGAGAGAGAGAGAAAAAAAAACAACGGTCGAGGCCGTGAAGAACCCTGATTTGGGTGCCGCATAGATAGAGGGAGAGGCGGACTTGACTCCTTCTAATAAGAGCTAGGAACTTGGAACCAACGCGGTGAGTAAAGAAAAAAGAAGAGAAAAAGCTAACGATGCAACTTAAAAAAAAAAAAAGAGGAAACTTAAATAGCTTATCAAATTAATTCCATTCTTATAGATTTGTGTGGAGACGACAGAGTGAACCAATCCTCTGTAGGAGGGAACCGTTGGAGCGCGTTGGTGAGTGAATGAGATTAAATTCAGTAAATTATTAAATTCAAAAAGCTAATTACAGCAACCGAGGTGACAGCAGTGGGCTGCTAGACGTTAGATCCCAGGAGTTAACATCTCAAACTACCAGTTAACGGTGGTAGGGCATATAGGAGTTAACGGCTCAAACCGCCAGTTAACGGCGGTAGGGCATATGGGATTCCCAGGAGTTAACGGCTCAAACCGCCAGTTAATGGTGGTACGGCCTAGATGTACAAGGTCCTCAGGGGCGTTATAGCTAACGCCATAGAATTAGCAATGCGTCCCTTAACCAAACATTTAATAATAAAAAAAAAATAGATAAATAAAAATAAATAAAAGCTAACTGATTAGGGAGGAATTATTTTACAAAGGTGGACCAAAGGACCAGAATTTATATTTTGTTGAATTTTGTTATAGAACATTTTTTTTATTTATTTATTTATTTATTTATTTATTTATTTATTTATTGTGTTACAGATATACAAGGTGTCACAATGCTGTATAGAAACACAACTAAATGTATCCTTGTTGTCATGAATGTATTTCTTGTCGAATAGTGTAGAGTAATAGAATCTAACTGAGCCTATTGAGCTGAACAATTGTTGTCATATGTAATTATATTTCCAGAGCTACTGAGAATTATTTTAATAGACAATCAAATTGATGTTATGTTAGTTGAACTGTGAACCCAAACATGATTGGCTATGCCAATAGAGTGAAGCATTTGTTTAAGTCTGTAAGACTTTATGCTGTGATGTGACGAGAAGGGTCGATGCCAACTTGCTAACAGTCCTGTTGTTTACAGGCTGGGTTTTTTTTTTTCCTTGGGTTTGATCCCGACTCCTATGATCACTCACTTGGAACGAGAACTGGATTTCTTCCTGACGAGGGAGATGGCGAGCCTTAACCACTGAACGAACCAGGACATCTCAAGTAACTGAAGAGCAGACTGCTCTCTTCTGTGAACAATCTCAACGGTGTGGTAGGAAAAAATCGCACCACCGGACTCTGACTTTCACCCCAAGCGTGGGGATTTGACTTGACGCCGGCTGACTTGTGACTCATATGATCAAATCTCATACCGACCAATTTACTATTGTCGATTGTTTTCATCTGTTTTTGTGTGTTATCTTTATGTGTTATATTTCCCATTATTATTAAAATTTAGTATATAAACCGTTTCATGCTATACCCGTGACTCCAGTCATTCTTAAACAACCTCCAATTCTCCCCGAACCTAATTATTGGCCCATTTGTTTATTTTTTCTTTTAATTATCTTATTGTATCCTGTAATCCGGTTACATGGGGAAGAATGAGACCACAGATACAAGCAACCGAAATAAGTTTTCTCCACAGGGTGACTGAGATGGGGTGAGATGCTCTAGCTTCCGGGATGGGCTTGGAATATACCCACTGCTCCTCTACATCGAGAGAAATCAGTTGAGGTGGCTCTGGCATCTAGTTAGAATGCCTCCTGGATGCGTGCCTGGCAAGGTTTTCTGGGCACATTAAGATTCCCCTGGAAGAACTGGCTCAAGTGGCTGGGGAGAGTGAAGTCTGGGCCCACCTGCTTAGGCTACTGCCCCTGGATAAGCGACCGAAAATAGATGGATGGATTGTTTGTTTTTTCTGGGCAGTTGTACACATTTCTTAAATGCTTTCAAAATAAAAACACGAACCAACAAAGCATAGCTCCGACTACCAAGTCCTCCCGATGATTGTAGCATTCTTTGTCCCAGGAATGCTGCTGCAAACACACAGGACCTTTAAACTTGTCTCTAGTTAGTGTAACAGTTCTTATTAACCTAAGTGAATTTTTAGAACTGTTCGACATGAAAGTGCCATATCAAATGTGACACAACTTTAGGAATAGTTGGAGGCAAAATTGCAAACAGGTATCATATTTGACCATATTAAGACATAAAGCAAGACGATTTGTGAATGTCATGAATATTATGTCATGACATTGTAAGTCTGTGATGTGTGGGAAGGGACTTGTACCAAGGTCTAGTACTCCAGTCCTGAATCCTAAGTGTTGGCGACCTCTCTTCTAGGTTTGGCGACGGCTACACAGTGATCGTGCGAGTTGGTGGCTTTCCTCCTGCGCTCAAGCCAGTGGAGGACTTCATTGAGCAGACTTTCCAAGGCAGTGTTCTCAAAGAGAAACATCACAATACTCTCCAGTACCAGCTTCCATACACACCAGGAGCTCTGGCCAACATCTTCAGCCAATTCACCAGCCATCAGCAAAGGCTGGGTTTGGAGGACTACTCTGTGTCCCAGACTACTCTGGATCAGGTGAGACCCAAAAACTGAAACAGTCATGAGCTTGGTGGGATACAGTTTCAGTTTTATATTGATTGACTCATTTATGGATATTGTTTCTTGAATTTTACTCATCATTAGAAAAATACAAGAGAAGGAGAGTATGATTATGTTTGAGGATGAGAAATCATAAAGCAGCAAGCGGTGACTTCGATTCTGAAAAGATTTTTTTCAGGGGTGCACCAATGTGAAAATGTAGGCCGATATTAAAATTGCCGTTATATCCAATAACTGATATTTACCAGTATTACATAAGTATAAGTTGAGATGTAATAAAACAACAGTACACTGAAATATTGCAATATTTTGTGTGCAGATATTGAATCGATATAAAAGCAGTGTGTAAGGCCTGACTCGAGCTGAGCTGGACCGGAGCGAGAGTTCGGATTGTTGCGTGTATTTTGACCCAAGCGCGGAGTGACTGACGCCGGGCAGATTGACACGCGTTTGCTCTAGGAGTCAAACCGTACAAAGCTAGTGAGCACGGCGGCTCCAAAAGGAAACAAGCTGACTTACTGCGAGTGGCTTGGGCTGATCTGGTCAGAACAGGCTTGAGTAATCCGTTAGGATCTGGTAGGAACTCGGAACATAGTCTGGTTAGGAACGATGACTGAGTGGTTTGGTGATGAGCTGCACTTCCTTATGTAGACGTGGAGGGTGATGTGAGCCGGAAGACTGGCGCTGGGAATGCTGGGTAGTGGAGTTCGATTGGGCTGAGTGAGTGTGGGTTCCTCCGGGGGAGGATGTCGAGGGTTGAGAAGGAGGCAGCGTGACACAGTGTATAGATTTTTTTTATTGAGGACTTACTTGGAAACATTTACTTCTTTTCTTTTTGTGTAGTGCAATTCAAAGTATGACTGCTACGTGGCAGCGGTTTTCACCACCTTCATTCTGACAGAGCAAGATCTCATGATAACGCTGGATGTGGTTTATAAGTGTCTGAACTGTGTTTTTCAATTAAGTATAGTCTAACACATTACAAATATTGTCTGACTTTTAATATTGCAATAAATCATATCCTCTCTCTTGTATTGAGATACATAGCATTGCCAGATTCTTGCCAATACACACCCCTAAATATAAGAAATAATTTGAATGTATACACACATTGATGTATATGACATGATTACCATCACTGTCACATAACTAAACAGTTACACATCACCCCCACCCCCACCCCCCCACCCCCACCCCCAACCGTCTGAAATGGATACACAAATGGAAGCAAGATGTAAAAAAATATTGGTTGTTAATATCGGCCCAGTTTTACTTATCGGACTGATACCGATATGTAAAAAATGACAACATTGGGCTTAATTACACAAGCTGAAAACAATTAGACCCTATGAAATGCCCTTAAACGTTGTCACTTTCCTCTGTGTACACTTACAGTATCTTAGCCCCTATATGGACTCGCTGAGGCTTAACTACAAGCACATATGTGAAGGGTGGCTTTTGAGGACATGTTATTATTAACCTTATAATTATTATTAAGGTTTATGAAGCACTTTCATCTCCAGAATCTCTATTCTTTCTTTAACCCAATACAAATTAAGAATGTAAGCATCTAACAGTCGTTTTAACCTAAAACTCTCAAAAGCAGATCTTAACCCATCTGCACTTATTATTTAAAATTTGGTGGTAGAGAATTCCCATTATTCAAATTGCGTGGTATAAATTCTAGCATTTTAACCAAGTCTCCAGGGAAACACATTTTTCATGTGTGTATTTTTGACAAACCACATTGAACATTGGAATGAAACTGATGAATAATTTGTTTGCTCTTTAAATGAAAATATTGATTTTGGCTGGTTTAGTTGTACAAAAAAGTGGTGTATTTTCTGAAATGTGCAGTTTCAGTTGGATAATTTCCTATTCTGGCCATATTTTCATAGAGTGGCAGCTCATTTTAATGGATCATTAGCTCATCAATCATTCAATCGTGCATTTTAAGAGTTTTATGCAAATTACTTTGCTCCAGGAGAATATGCGAAGGAACATTTTAATCGAACATTGTTTTGTTGTTTTCTTCATCAAGGCTGTCAGAATGGCCGCTGGTGACTACACTAAGTTGTGTTTTGCTGGAATAGTTTACTTTAAAGCTCCACATATCGATCATAAATAAGAGCTTATATATAAAAGCTGCTAAATCCAGAACTTTTTAATTCCATTGCTATTGCTGCAGTTGTTTGGTGAAAATAAGCCAAGTCCCTGGTGCTGCAGACTGTCTTCACCTTTTGTTTTCCTTCCAGCCCCAGAGATGTGATACAATCAGACAGTGAATGGTGAGCGCGGGTGTCTGGTTTTACAAACCCTCTATTAACTCAGCAGCAGATCGCCAGGTGGGAGGCGAGAATGACCTCTCTGAGGTTTACAAAGGTCATGAGTCGCCCCTCATCGCTGAGTGGGGGAAGAAAAGTAAAAACAGACTCAGATGTGAGTCTTCTGTGAAGGGCTTCAGCTGTGCTGTAATTAAATCTAAAATAACGAGAGGTCATTTTTCTGTGTTTCTTCACCTTTGAGATAATACATTGTTTTTCACAGTTATGACACATCCTTGAATTGGTGCTAGTTAAACGAAATTTTTATTTTGTTTATTTGTTTCTTGAATTCCAGTGGCAGATCTAAAAAATTGAGGTGCCAGAACTGTAGTCGGGGTGGCAATGTTAGACCTCCTCATTGAAATATGAAAACACCTATAGAGTCAACATAATATCCACAAAAACACTTAAAATAAAAATGGAATTTATTGTCAATATTTCTTCTAAGAAAACAAAAAACATTGCTGAGTATATCGAGAAAACCATTTATTAAACAAAATAAAAAAGGAAATACGCAATACGGAAAACAGATTTACAGGAATGATTACAGCTATCACTTTTAGAGAGTGCTTTAAACAGAAATCTGAAGTTTTTTGTCAGAAGGCCCCATGTAGTGGCAGAAAAATGTATTATACCTTAAACCCTTCTCCGTACTTCCGTGATTACAGCTGAAATAAACACTTTTTGTTCATGCATTTTCTCCACTGAAACCATGTAAACTTTTCAAATAAATACGGATTTGTTTGAAAATATCAGAGAGACGATTTTCTGTATATTTTAAATATGTTAAATATCGTCTGCTCTCAAAATCCTTGTTGATTCATCAAACAGAAGATTTTCATTCTAGATTGTTTTTAGCCAAGATAATAGCCTAATGGTTTAATTGTCCTCATTAATAGTTTATTATTACAAATAGCTGAAAAATCTTTACCATTTTCAGTGTTTGGCTTGGGAATTGCCTCACAACTCATATATCTGATAATATACGTTTTTCAGTTAGTTAAAAATATGATTTTATATTTAAAGACCCCTCTAAGAGGGTATCTTTCAGTGACATCACCACAAGAACATTTCAGCAATATCCAAGAATTTAATGTCAGAATGTAATACCATGATGCTCATTTGGATATCCTATAATTAAAACTAAGACCATCTTTTGCTGGGATTTTCACATAAAATTTGCCATCCAGGACTCATTCACACTGCCAGTAAAACAGAAAATTACCATTAATTAGCTCTTGAAATATAATATTGTTCTGACTTTATTCCCCCATAGGAATTATAACAGAGTCTTGCTTTCGAGTTCAAACATCACAGATGTTAAACCAGCCAACAGCGTCTAACCTTGAGCATTTCTCTTTTACCTTTTGTGTCAACCTGGCTACGCTGGTCAATATTTACCCAATCAGGAGCAGTAAATAAATCACACTTAGACCAAAAGGTCAGGTATTAAAACATGAAGGGTCCAGACTGGAGGCCCTACTGAGACCCAGATGGTCACCTTTCAGCTGGTGATTTATAGAGAAGAGCCCTGACCCATATGTCTCTACGCCCAACTTGCACTGGAATTAATATTGATCGACACAGGGCGGAGCTCAGGCCTTGGTGCTGAGATTAGAGATTGAATAATCTTTTTAGAGCAGATTTAGAAGTGTGAATTGTTTTTTGGATCAGTGTTTTATGTTAATCAAACATGGGAGGACGGAGGCACAGGAGTTAACTCATTCACTGCCAGCCGTTTCCTGATCAGTAAAGTCCTTCGCTGCCAGGGTTTTTCTGCGTTTTCACAGTTTTTTTAAGAGTTACGGAACATTGCGCGCTAGGATGATTCGAGCGATATCCGTTCTTTTATGATCCATTGTTGAATTGTGATCGGCAGAAGCTTTTCCGGTTCGCGCCTTACTTTTTTTTCACAGCAGTGGCCCAAAACGATCTCCTAACACATGGATTTTTTGCTTCCTATTCACGTGACGTGTGACGTACACAGATGAAGATCGGCTTTAGAGCTGGGATGTTTGTTGTCACGTCGCGGGGGCTCATTCCGATGCCTACACAGTAAAAAATTGCAAATGACAAATTTAGTCGTCTTTGGCAGTGAACGGTTGGATTTAAAATGACGATTTTTGTTGTCAATGGCAGTGAATGAGCTAAGTGCTCGCCCCGTAATCAGAAGGTTGCAGGTTTGAGCCCTGCTCGGCTTGTTGGTGGTCGGAGGGGCCGGTGGCTCCAGTGTTCGACAGCCTCTCTGTCAGTGCGTCCCAGGGCAGCTACATCGTAGCTCATCCCCACCAGGGAGTGAATGAGTGTGTGAATTAGTGAATGACTGATTCTGTTTTAAAGTGCCTTGGGGGGTTCCAGGACTCCAGAAGGCGCTATATCAAATACAGGCCTTTTACCAATTAATCAGCACAATGATCCTCTTCCTGTGTCAACCTCACTCACGGGAAATTGAAACAAGATGGTGCTCGATTTAGCGACGAAACAGAAAGCAGAGAAAAGTTTTCTCATATTTGGTACTGAAGAGACGAAAATGAGTCCTTTTTATTTTGCTCATTCAACGTGAGACCAATGTGCTTTCAGAGCGTATGGCCTTCCAGTTTCTAAGGAAGGAAGTTGCAGGGGGTACATTCACTTTAGTCAGCAGCATTTATA